GATCGAGGAATGACAAAACCTAGGACCATTATCTTGAGGTGAGAAGTCCCTATGGGTTGGCACCCTGTAGAAATATAGATTTCGCCTTCCCCACACCGAATTAATAGAATTCCGGAGTAATGAACCCATGATGGACCAGGGTTGTGTCCAGTCCAAAACGTCTTCTCAGGCGCCCGACCCCGTTCCATCATTATCATTCCATAGTAATGAACCCGAGTAATTATGTTATTCCCAGATAAATGCGAATCCCAGTTTATAATGTTCCAGGGATAACGACGTAGAGTCAATATTCGAGCAAAAGGAATCCCAATCGGGAGCCTGGGGATTTTGGGGAGAAAAAAACAATTAGCATCATTCTGGAATGACTCATCCAATGTCATCATTCTCGGCTTTAGCACAAACGACGCCCCCGGGGTGAATTTTTTATCGCTCCGGAATAATAATCCATGATTCGCTATTCCCTGAACGTTGTGAACCCCAATGTACAATGTTCCGGAGATGGTGAAGCGGGGTCAATATCCGAAGATGACGAATCCAACTCTGGTGCTCAAGGGTTTGGGGGAAAAGACACATAAGAACTAGTCCAGAAAATGAAATCCACATCAATCATTCTCAGGTTCCGAAGATCCCGCCCAAGACATTATAAATCCAAATCTATCATGTTCCAGCGGAACATTATGGACACCAAGATGATATTCCCGGGACATAGCAACCCCCAAATCTAGAATGTCCCGGGGAAAAACATTAAGAACCCCAGTCAATGTACCCCGAACGTTATAAACCCAGGTCAATATTTTTTGTGGGGTCCATCCTGGAGGTGCTCATCGCCCACAAACCGATGTGATTCGGCGGATTTCGGCTTCCACCCTGGACTACAAGTTTGCGCCGCGTTGCCCACGGATGTGCAGGCGGCGTTTGCTGTCGTGAGAGATCGTTAGCTGCCGTAGCCGGCGGCTGCTGCGGCGATTGCTCTGGCCATTGCCCCGTCCACTGCACGCCCTGCAAGCTCGGGCAGGTTCTCTCCTAACGCCGCGGCGTGCGCCCATGCCGAATAACAGCGGGCACTGCGTGAACGGTCGTTGGACCGTGCGAAACTGTCGCCGAGCGCAGTGCACGTGAGGCGTCGCCCACCACAATGAAGCGCAGTGGCGCAAAATGGTGGCGCTATTTAGCCCCGACGCCGCCGCGACGACGACGAGGATGGGGATGAGGAGGAGGAAGAGGAGGAGGAGGAGGAGCAGGAGGACGAGGAGCAGCAGGAGGAGGGGCGAGTTGGTTGTTCCCCGCCGAGAGAAACAGGGGGGGCCTAAAACTAAAGACCTCCTTAGGCTATATCTATTCATAACGTCGACCCCCAGAGTTCTGGACATCTTCCAAGGACTAGCTCTTTATGCCGACTCGTTGTCTTACGGTCCCGAGGCCCTGTAATAAAAAAACGCAATAAGCATAAACTTGTGGCGCTCCGCGCGGTTTTCTTAGATCCGCGCCGGACCCCCCCTCCCTGGCGCGCGGAGTGCGCCAGGGGCGGCGCCGGAGGCGCCGCCGGGGGAGGCCCAGCGCAGAGCCAAGATATCCGCGCGGAGCGCCAAAAGTGTATGTTTATGGCGATGTTTCTTTTTCGATATAAGGGCCCCTGGAAGCCAAAACTCACCGAAAGGCATTCGGTCGTGATTTCTTCACGATGCGAAGAGTGTCTGGGCTTCCTGCTATGACGACCCTCCAAAGATGGGGGCCTCTCAAATGGGGTCCGAGTGGATGGGGTTGACCTGGATCGCCGATGCACCGCCGATAAATTAGTGATGCGTCGGCGATGCATCGGGGACGTCGGCGATGTACTGGCGCCGTCGGAGTGGAACAAATCGGGCTCCAAATCGGGGCGCATTGCCGATGCATCGGCGATGAGGCACGAACCTGCGACCACATCTACTCGGCATACTCGGTCTGGGAGGCCTAGATCTGACGACCCCCCAGGAGGGCATTTCTTGTTCGCGGCAAAAAAACAGCTTTATGGGGGAAGGGGCGGGGGGCGCATACCGAAACGACCCCCGCCCTCCGCCCCCGCAAAGCGTATCCAGAACCACAAACTATGGTGCCGGACGCACTGCGGCAGGGCCGGGGATGCACTGCGGGGAGGTGGGGGGAGCGTTACGTTAGGCAGGGGAGGGTGGGAAAGGGGGACATAACGCACGTCATGGCCCAGAGGGTAAACAAAACTACCCCAGATTTCGTAATAAAAGGGAGGGGGTCTGGACCCTCCAAGACAAGCCATTTCAGACCCCCCCCCCGTGGGAGAACCCTCCAAAACATCGTCCCCGGACCCCCCAGGCCCTCCAAGATAGCCTGAAGGAGACCCCCCCCGAAATGAGACCCCCCTCCCTTTATTACGAAATCTGGAGTACGGCAAGTTCGCGCGGCGTCCGCGTGCACAAAAAAATTTGACCCCGCGTCGATCGGTCAAAGGTGAACCGGTCGCGGCCCCACTCCGTCGGATCCTGTGGCGTTACCATGCCCTTCAGTGCTTCCACGTCGCTCTCGCATGCGTAATTCGGCCCTAAAACGCCTTCGCCAACGTCGCTGGCGCGACATCGCAGCATGAACCTGGGGTAATGGTGTCGGTACGGCAGGTTCATGTCGTGCCGACTTCGGCGCTGGTTCCTAACACCGCGGGGATAGTCCAACCTTGAGCGATCGGCCCTCTCCTCAACGTCAGATCCTGCAACACCAACCGATTCTGGGTCGCGCCAGTAACGCTCAACGTTGAACGCCAGCGGCAGGGTCGCGGCCGGTCGACACGACGCGAACCTTCTGTAGCTTGTTGACTCCAGAGAAGACGCAAGAGAACCCAACATCGGATCGGCAATCGAAAGGAATCGGACCGGCGGAAATCGGAAGCCGAGTCGGGAAACGTCGAATCGGCGGACATCGGCAGGCCAGTAAGCCGTTCTTGAAACATCGGAGCCCGAATCCAAATCCCGTGTCGAGTCGACTCGGCATCGGAAGCCACCGAACTCGAATCGAATCGAACCGGAGGCATTGAAACGAGCCCCGAAGAGGTCCTCGACGACCAACGAGCCCTGATCGAATCGAAGGGATTGAACGAACCCTGATCGAATCGAATCCAAATCCCGTGTCGAGTCGACTCGGCATCGGAAGCCACCGAACTCGAATCGAATCGAACCGGAGGCATTGAAACGAGCCCCGAGGAGGTCCTCGACGACCAACGAGCCCTGATCGAATCGAAGGGATTGAACGAGCCCTGATCGAATCGAATCCAACTGCCGTGTCGAGTCGACTCGGCATCGGAAGCCACCGAACTCGAATCGAATCGAACCGGAGGCATTTTGAACGAGCCCCGAAGAGGTCCCGAAGAGAGGTCCTCGACGAGCCCCGAAGAGGTCCTCGACGAGCCCCGAAGGGGTCCTCGACGAGCCTCGGCATTGCAACGGGCCCCGAAGAGGTCCTCCTCGCCGGCCAGCGGCGGGCGCGCGCCGAGCCCCGCGCAGCTTCCGCGGGCTCGGCAGCTCGGCGCCGGGCGCCGGCAGCGGCCAGCCGCCCCGCGAGGGGGGCGCCGAGGGCGCGGGCTCCCGCGGGGTCAGGCGCGGGGGCGGCGGCAGCGGCGAGAGGCTCCTCGGGAGAGGGTGCTTCGAGCGAGCGAGGGAGCCAGCAGTGCGGGGCATCCTTCGGGCCCATCTGATTCTCGGCGGGCGAGGTCGTGGCCTCTGCCACTCTCTTGTCTGTTGGTGTTGTTGCTGCTGCTGCTGTTGTTGCTGATGCTGTTGCTGGTGCTGTTACTGTCGTTAGTGCTGTTGTTGTTGCTGTTGTTGTTGTTGTTGGTGTTGTTGTTGGTAGTGGTGTTGTTGTTGGTGTTGTTGGTGTTGGTGTCGTGGTTGTTGTTGTGGTTGTTGCTGGTGTTGTTGCTGTTGTTGTTGTTGGTGGTGGTGTTGGTGTTGGTGTTGCTGTTGTTGTTGGTGTTGTTGTTGCTGTTGTTGTTGTTGGTGTTGTTGTTGGTGTTGTCGTTTGTGTCTCTCTCTCTCTGCCTCTCTCTCTCTCTCTTTCTGTATGTTGCTTAATATATCTGGCTCGATCTCTGTATCCTGTGTTTCCTCATCGTTGCCGTGCTGCTCTTTTCCCTTCCCCCGCCTTCCCCTGGTCGTTCTGGTCCTCCTGCTTCTCCCACTCCCGCTTCTGCTGCTGCTGTTCCTCCTCGCCTTCCTTCTTCCTCATCCTCTTCCTCCTGCTCCTGCTTCCTCCTTCCTCATCCTCCTTCCTCGCCTTCCTCGTTTTCCTCCTTCCTCATCCTCCTTCCTCATCCTCTTCATCCTGCTCATCCTCCTGCTCATGCGCCACCTCCTCCTCGAACATACGCAGTCCTCCTGTTGCTTGCGCACGCTGCAATAGGGATCCTTTCGGGGGGAGTTCGAAGTACGCTTTGATGCCTGTCGGCGGATACAGAAGCAACAGAAAGCGCAGTTGGAAGGACTGGGTGGGAGGGTTAGGATGTCAGATATGGCGACAGCGCATCTAGCGTCCCCTCCCATCCCCTCTTTTTCCCCCGCATCCCCCCTCCCCGCTTCCTTAGGGAGCCCACAAAAAGGACGTACGCGCCCAACCACGCGCATGAATGCGGCCCTCAAGTCCGCGAGACCCGCCGCGTGACACGAACGTTCGCGCAAGGCACACTCTCGAAATCAACGTGGATCCATGCACGTGCGAGTCCTTCTTTCGCTCCAGACCCTCCCTGCCTCCGTCCCCCCATTTGATTCGGAGCAGGGCGAGTGGAGACCACGGCAGCTCCAACATGGCAGCCTGAGCTCCTCCCGCCACCAATTCCCCGAGCTGCGCCTAGCCGTGGCGCGACGCGGGTGCCTGCCGCCCCCAATTCCCCGAAGGCCACCTGCCGCTGCTTCCGCTCGCCCGCCCGCGGCAGCCCGCGATACGAGTGGGCCGCAGCGGGGGCGGGGCAAGACCAAGCCAGGACAAGGACATCATCAGGTCGGGCATGCCCTCCTGCTGGCGAGTGTTGGGCGAAACGTATCAAAGTAGCCAAGACATGTTCATAACGAAAATAGAGGAATCGTCCCCCGAATACTGCCGCATTATCTTCGAACATTCCCTCTGTAGAAGGAGAGGCCCGACTTCAATCCAGGACGAGGATCACATCGGGCGAGGATCGACTGAACAACATTCTCTGAGATCCGGCGGCTCTGGAGGATGTCTCGGGCGCCGCGGCCTTCTCACCAACGTTCCGCAACGCTCCGAGAGCGTTCTGGAACTCTCTGCAAGCAGCGGATGTTATCCTCGTCCTAGCCTTAGGTCGGCCATGTCCCCTACCGGCGGACCGGAAGAAACATGAAGAACACTTGAACAATACCCCCAAAAAGGCAAAACTAGTCAAAACATCGTCCCCATAATATCTGTTGCTTTTTTGTTAAATGCTCCTCCTGTAGAGGGGCACGCCTGGCTTAATCCTTGCCCCATCCGACCGACAACACCCGAAGTGAGGGGCAACGGGGGCCGGGGGACCGGCTCCGGGGGCGGACTTGAGCAGGGACCGACCCTCCCGGCTTTCCTGCAGGCCTACCACGAAATCCTCTCAGAACCCAAACGGGGCATGAGTTCGATCCGCTGGTGCACCGAACTGCCACAAACAAGTGCCCCCCGCATCAGCCACCTATCGGCAACTATCGGGAGCAGCCGGCGGCTGAGGGGCATCTGTTTTGGGCGCTTCGGTACGAACACCGATCGAACTCACACACGCCTTGGGACCCCCCCCCGCCGAATGTCAAAATCATAGCATAACCCCGACGTGTTCAAACACGACGGTCTCAGCCAGAAATGCTCTGAGAACATGTCGTGCAGACCGCCAGAAAAAAGGCTCTTGGAGCAGCCTCTGGCAAGCCAGGACGCCGCGCCGCTGCTCGGGAAAAAGGTCGACCTGGGGAGCGGGGGGACGCTCTGGAACAGATGCCCGCCAGCACAGACAAAGAAAACGCGGCATGCACATAAGCTCTTGGCGCTCCGCGCGGGTTCCTTGGATCTGCGCAGGACCCCCCCCCCTCCCTCTGAGCAGTTTCTCAGGGTGGAGGGTTCAGGGTGAAATCCACCTCGAAAATCAATCCGTCTTGTGATTCACCTTTTGCAGATTCCAGCCTCGAAAATCAAAACGGCATTTCGGGTTTTAGCCTCTGCCCTCCACGCAAAAGAAAATGCTCGGCCCCTGGCGCGCAAGTGGCACGCCAGGGGCGGCGCCGGAGGCACCGCCCGGGGTGCCCCAACGCGGATCCAAGGAAACCGCGCGGAGCGCCAATAATTTATGTTTATGCCATTGTTCCTTCGTCCATTACAGGGCCTTGGGACCGTAAGACAATGACTCGGCATAGTCCCTGGAAGAGGTCCAGAACTCTGGGGGTCGACGTTACGAATAGGAATAACCTCTGGTCTTTAGTCTTAGGCCCCCCCCACCTGTCTCTCTCGGCGGGAAGCAGACTCGCCCCTCTACCTCCTCCTCCTCCCCCTCCTCCTCCTCCTCCTCCTCCTCCTCCTCCTCCTCCTCCTGCTCTTCCTCCTCATCCCCAACCTCGACCCAGCCCTGGCCCCGCACGAGGGGGAGGTGGGGCCCCCGCAGGGCGGCCGCGGGGGAAACGTGCAAGAACTTCGCGGATTGCGGGCGGGTGGTTTTCAAAATGTGGCTCTCGCCTCAACGCCGCGCACATTCGTTTTAAGCATGCGCAAGAGCTTCACGGATTGAGGGCGTGTAATTTTCAAAATGTGACTCTCGCCTTGGCGCCGCGCATATTCGTTTACACCATGTTCAAGAGTTCCACGGATTCCCATCATCAACGTACCAGAAATGCGTGCTGGAAGGATTCTGGATTATGCGGGCGCAACAGTTATGATGATTCTATGTGTTGAAGTTCTGGGAATGGCGTTCTGGCGCGATTCTGGATCGTCAAGACGCAACAATTCAGGTTGATCCGTGGCGTTGGAATCCCGAGAACAATGTTTTGGGTTGCTTCAAGATCTTCAAAAGAAGCAGTTCCATCCATGGAAATGAACCGTTTTAGGCGCCTGTGAAGAGGGAGCTTGGAGGGAGGGCTTACTCCTACATCGTTGATGACTCTTGGGTTTACACTGGACCTCCTCTTTCTCCTCCTCCTCCTCCTCCTCCTCCTCCTCCTCCTCTTCCTCCTCCTCCTCCTCCCTCCTTCTTCTCCTCCCTCATCCTCCTTTGCCTCCTCCGTTTCCTCCTCCTCCTCCTGCTCCTCCTCCCTGTTCCCCAAAACCCAATCCTCCTCCTCCTCCTCCTCCTCCTCCTCCTCCTCCTCCTCCTCCTCCTCCTCTGCTTTTCTCCTCTTCCAACCTCCTCCTCCTCCTCCTCCCGCCTCCACTCCTTGTTTTCCTGCTGCTTTTCCTCCTCCTCCTCCACCTCCTCCCTCCTCCTCCTCCTTATCCCTGCTCCCCCCCTCCTCCTTCTTCTCCTCCTCCTTCCGCCTGCTCCTCCTCCTCCTCCTCCTCCTCCTCCTCCTCCTCCTCCTCCTCCCCCTCCTCCTCCGCCCTCCCTCCCCCCTATCTCCGTCCCTCATTCTCCTCCTCCCTCCTCCTCCTCCTCCTCCTCCTCCTCCTCCTCCTCCTCCTTCACCTCCTCACTGCTCCCCGCCTTCGTCCCCAACCTCCTCCCTGCTCCTCCCCATCCTGCTCCTCCTCCTGATCCCCCTCTTCCTCCTCGACTACCCCTGACGGCTCCCTTCGGGGGCCTCGATTCACCTTGCTAAGTGGTGTGTGCGACCCATCCACTGTGTGTGATATCTTCCAGACATACAATGAAAGTTTGGCTCTGTGCCAACTGTGTTATCCAGTGTTTTCGGAAACAATTTGGATTGGGGGCGGGGGGTGCAATCGCGAAGCCGCTTCGAACCGCAATAACACTTACGTACGACGTACGGCCCCATGGGCTTGGCCCGAAGCTTCCAGCAAAACGTAGTCAGCCCGTCAGACCCAGAAGAGGTCTGGGTAATCGTTGGTAGGTCTCCGTCCTGGGACTCCAGCTCCACCTCCAACTCCTCAACCATCCCCTTTGAGGGGGGCAACGATAGAAGGGGGGATAGGCATAGGGGGAAACATTGACCTGGAGTCGGCGATACATCGCCGATAGATCAGCGATGCGCACCCGATTGCGAATCCGCACCTTCCTGGGCAAGCTGGGGCTATCGGGCCCCCATCGGCGACAAATGGGCGATTGGGGGTCGATGTATCCCCTGGTATGCCAACCCCACAGACAAGTTGCCTACTGGCTTTCGGGCCATACTCGGCCCCACCGGCGGCAGCTCGGGACGATCCCGACTCCCCTGGAGCGCCCTCGGCGAGGCGCGGCTTCTGGGACGCACCCCGAGGCCGAGCAGCGAACCACCGCCGAGAAACCCTACGAAAACGTCTGAAAACATCAAAAATCGGACCTCGCGGTCAAAACAGTGACCCTGAACTCCAGCTGCCTCCCACGTCGTGGCCCGCGCCAGGGGGCCCCTGGACGCTCCGCGGCGCTCCTCCTCCTGCTCCTCCCCCTCCTCCGCCCCCTCCTCCTCCTCCACCTCCTCCTCCTCCTCCTCCTCCACCTCCACCTCCCCCTCATCCACCTCCTCCTCCTCCTCCTCCTCCCTCCCCCCCTCCCTCCCTCCCTCCCTCCCTCCCTCCTGCTCATCCCTCCCTCCCTACCTCGCTCCTCCTCCCCCCCCTCCCCGAGGTCCTGCTCTCCGCCACCTCGGCCGCGCCCGTCGCCCCCCTCGCCTGCCGCACGCGCGGAGTCCGCACGCGCAGCGGCCCCTGCGCGGCCTCACCGGCGGGGGAGGGGCGCCGCTGGACCTCGCGGCGAAGGTGGGCAGCAGGAACCCATCGGGGCTCGAGGAGGGGGACCGAGGAAAAAGGGAGGGGGAAAAGGAAGAGGAGGGGGAGGAAGAGGAAGAGGAGGTGAGAGGGAGGAGGAGGAGGCAGAGGCGGAGGATCGAGCATCGAAGAGGAGGACCGAGGAGAAGGAGGATGGAGGATCGAGAAAGAGAATCGAGGATCGAGGATCGATGATGCTGATGATGATGATGATGAGGAGGAGGAAGACCGAGGACCGAAGGCCCACGCAGCCCCCTGCGCTCGCCGGCCCACCCCGATCGGCGGGGCGTCCCCCATGCGGTGGGCCTCTCTCCTCGGCGAGGAAGGGCTGCAGCGCGAGGTGACCAACAACAGGCACAATGGAGCCATCGTGGAGACCCACAGCTGGAAATCCACCAGGAATGAGGGTTAGGAGGAGGAGGAGGAGGAGGAGGAGGAGGAGGAGGAGTTGGAGTTGGAGTCGGAGCTGGAGAAGGAGGAGGAGGAGGAGGAGGAGGAGGAGTTGGAGTTGGAGTCGGAGTTGGAGAAGGAGGAGGAGGAGGAGGAGGAGGAGGAGGAGTTGGAGGAGGAGGAGTTGGAGTTGGAGTTGGAGTCGGAGTTTGAGGAGGAGGAGGAGGAGGAGGTGGAGGAGGAGGAGGAGCATCCACAACTAGGAAATCCACCAGGAACGGGGGTTATCGTCCTCGGCCAGCCTATTCGCCACCACGGCAGTGCGGGCCGCCGCAGCCCCTGAACTTTGACCACACGACGGGCCGACGACGACGAGCAGGCCAGGCACGGGGCAGAAGTGGAAACATCTGCATGGACATACACTTTCGGGGGCCCACGCGGACTCCTTGGATCGCCGCTGGGTCCCACCTCCCCGGCGCGCGGAGCGAGGCGCCGCCAGGAGGGCCCAGCGCTGATCCAAGAAACCCTCGCGGACCTCAGAGGAATTATTGTGTGCCGCCTTTCTGTTCTTCGAACACAGTCGAATAAGGAACGAGACCACTCTTTGCACAAGGTGAACTTCGAAGCCCCATCGAATCACTAAGAACAGCCTGAAACAGACCTGTTAATAACTTGGGCACACTGAGCCCCTCCCCAACGAAAAGGGTTCCTTGGTCAGCGGCCTGACTGTAAGGGCACCTCTCTGCCCGTCGCTGGACCGTCCGGCCAACCCGTCCGAAGGGCGCGGCAGTGCAGGCATGCGGCGGCAGACGCGGCGCAGGCACGCACCGCAAGGGCGAGGCGTGCCAGCATTCACTTCGAGTCGCAGATCGAGCGCGGGAAAGAGGGGCGACGAGAAGGAGGGAGATCAGCGACGAGGAGGAAGTTCGCTACTCTAGATCCTCCTTGATCATCCTCCTCCTGTCCTTCTGCCTGGGCCATGCGGGACCTCGTGGGAAGAGCGGCCATCAGGAAGCAGTATTGTCGTCGCCGCCGTCGTCGTCGATCGTGGCCACAGGAGACCCCTGGAGACTGGAGACCTCGAGGATCACTGTCGTTCAGGTGTTTGGCCGTTCCTGGGATTTCCGGGGCGCCCTCGTCGTCACGGCTGGATTCGCACCCCACGGATGCCCTGCGCGATCTCTCAAAAATACTGTCCCTCATCCACGTCGCCGATGTAGTTTTATCCTCGTCCTCCTTCTCCACCTCCTTTCGTCCTCATCCTCTTCCCCTTACAGGAAGAGCGCGAGGATCGAATATCCAAGGTTTTGGATGTTTCTGGCACGTTCTCGCCTTGAAGAGACCTCTCGGAGGCCTCCAGAGACATCCTTTGATCTCTGGGGACATCCATGGACCTCCTCCTCACCTATCGTCCTAATACTCCTGCTCGTCGCCCACGTCGTGTCACCGCCAGCGCCGCCGCCCCAGCCGCCGCCGCCGTCATCAAGGTCGTCGTCGTCTTCGTCGTCTCACTCCTTCCCCTCCGCCAGGCCTCTGGCGTCTCAAACCGTTCAGCGAGCGGGCTCTGGAGCAATCAGCTCTCCACCCCTTCTCGGGCAAGAGCCTCTCGTCCACGGTCGCTCCTCGTCATGATCCAGGCAGGGTCCCGACCCTCCTCCTCCTCCTCCTCCTCCTCCTCCTCCTCCTCCTCCTCCTCCTCCTCCTCCTCCTCCTCCCCCTCCTCGCAAGGGGAGGTGCGCTTCAGCGCCTCATCCCTATCCTCGCCCGCCGCGGCGACAGCACGGCCATCCAGAGGGCGGGCTCTCCTGACTGGATTCAGGCCTCCTGCTGGCGTGACCCTTCATTCCTTCCTCCTTGCCTGCTGGCGCCTCCGTCCTCAGCCTGCCACGCTTCCTCCTGGTCCTCGTGAATATTCGTCTCGTCCACGTGCTCCCCCTCCCTGTTATCCCTCGTCCTCCCGGCTCTTTCACCCTGGTCCTGCCTCCTCCTCCTCCGCCTGCTCCTCCTCCTTCTTTTACTGTCCAGCAGGATTCGCCTCGAGGTATTCCTCCTCCCCCTCCTCCTTCTCCTCCTGAGTAGTCCTCGTCTGCGCCATTGTCGACGTCGCCAGAGCGCGCGACCTCGTGGAAAGAGCGGCGAGCGGGTACCCCGTCGGTTGTGTGGCCCTTCCAGATCGTGGCTTTCCTGGATGCGCGGAGGACGAGGGGGTGGAAGGACAAAGATTAGGTTGTTCCCATCGTGCTTAAGGACCACATCCCATAAATAATTTCGAGCGCCCAGAAAAGCATCGAAACAGCGTCGAACGAGTATCGCTTCCCAGGGCCCGACACGTGAAAACCTGCAGATTTCGCCACTTTCTTGGTGCTCGAAAATCTTTCTGGCGGTCAAGGCTACAGTGGGTTGGAACATCATAGGACAAGGAGCAGGGATGAGCAGGAGGAACATTTTTTGGAGGTGGGTCAGGGTCAAGCGCTGCCTCCCGAACGAGCGGAGACCGAACGGGGGCCCGCAAGAGGAACGCGGCGAGGGTCACAGAAGACGCACGGCGGGGGGGGCAGGATCAGGGGAACGAGGCATGACATCAACATACAAATTCGGAGGTCCGAGCGGATTTCTCGGATCCGCTCTGGAGCCCCCTGGCGGCGCCTCCGGCGCCGCCCCTGGCGCGCTCCGCGCGCCAGGGAGGGAGGGTTCAGCGCGGTTCTGAGAAATCCGCGCGGACCTCCGAGTTTGCATGTTTATGTAATGTTTCGTTCCCCTAGGGGTGCACGCGCGGGAGCAAGAGACCTTTTTTTGGTGAATCGGCGATAACCCGGGTCATCGGGGGGGGGAAGGGGAGGAAGGGGCCGGCCGATCATTTAACCCTTGCGCTGTGGGCAACCCTGCATATGCCCGCGCACCCCCTCCCGCGACCCGCACATACGGCAGGATTGGGTTATCCTTGGGGGGGGGAGGCAAGCACGATAACCCGGGCTATCTCCCGATCCCCCCCCCCCAAAAAACAGTCTCCAGGAGGAAGAGAGCGAGGAGGGGAGGCCAGGAGCACAGGGGGGGGAGGAGGAGCACAGGGGCACGAGGCTCGAGGCCAGGGGGGCGACGACGAGGAGGGCGGGCGGCACGCACCCGAAGGGGGAGGCGGGAGGTGCAGGACGAGGACTGGCTGCGCAGCCGGTGCCTGGCCCCCTCGGGGCCGCGAGACCGCGCCAACGTTAGGGCGGGCACGTCCCCCTACAGGCGGATCTTGGGCGAAAAATGCAACATATGGCGAAAAATACAACATATGCTGTTAATACACACATCTGTATATATATATATATACACACACACACTTCAAAAATGCTCAAAATATCGTCCCCAGACTATTTGTTGAAACTATCCTTGAGTATCCTCCTGTAGAGGGACATGCCCGACTGAAGACTGGCTGCGCAGCCGGTGCCCGGCCCCTCGGGGCCGCGAGACCGCGCCAACGCGACCGCGCCACCGCCCCGCGGGAGGGCCAGAAGCCTCCAGAGAGCCCTGCCGGCGCTCGAGCGTCCGTGACACCCGTGCGCTGCTCGGCCTCGTGTGCTTACTCCAGATATCACCATAAAAGGGGGGTGGTCCTCGCCGAGAAACGTGGAGGAACAGAACTCGGTATGATATGCACACAAGCGTTTCGTGGCCCTCGCGGATTTCTGGGATCTACGCTCGACCCCCCTCCCTGGCGTTCGGAGCGCGCCAGCGGCGCTGCTGGAGGCGCCGCCAGGGGGCTCCAGCGCCGATCCAGGAACTCCGCGCGGAGATTCGAAAGCTTATGTTTATGCAGATGTGTTGTTCTTCGACGAATTGTCCCTCGAGCGGGGGGAAGGGCGACGACGTTGACGACGACGACGACGACGAGGCCGTCCAAACCCCCCCCTGGCTCGTCCGCCGCAGGGGCCGGAGGCCAGCCCCTCGAGTGAGCGCCCGCCGACGGAGAGGCCCCCCTCTGGAGATGGGCCGGGGGCGACGGGGGCCGGAAGCGATCGGGGAGGGAGGTGGCCGCCTCCCTTTCTCTCTCTCTCTCTCTCTCTCCCTCTCTCTCCTCTCGTAGAGGCCTCCTGGGTGGGGGCGGAGGACCGCGCGACATCGCCGATGCCTCGGCGATGCACCGGCGATGCATCGTCGACGCGGGCGATGCATCGGCGACGTCGGCGTGAAGCAAGTCGGGCTCCGCATCGAGCCGCATCGGCGATGCATCGCCGATGCGGCGCGATCCTCCGGCCCCATCTACTCGGACCCCATCTCGGAGGCCTACATCTCCGCCCTCCTCCTCCGCCACGCCCCGAGGAGGCCCGAGGAACCCGGGGGTCCCCCCCCCCCCCCCGAAAATCCCCCCCCCTCCCCCCCCCCCCCCCCCCCCCGGCAAAACCCCCCCCCTCCCCTACCCCCCCCCCCTCGAAAAGGGGGGGGTCACTACCGGTTCGAACCCCCCCCCCTCGAAAACTGGAGGGGGGGGGCCACTACCGGTTCACACCCTCCCCACCCCCCCCCTCTCACCGCCAACAAACGAATCCTCCCGGTCCCTACCACCGTCCTCACCACATCCCCCACTATTGTTCCCAGCACCACTGTCCTCACCACCACTGTTTTTACTGGTTCCACCACCGCCCCTACTGTCCCCACCAGTGCCACCACCACTGTCGCACTGTCCCCACTGTCCCCACCACTGTTCCTACCACGGCTCCACTCTCCCAACTTTCTCCACGGCCCCAACCACTGCCCGACTATCCCCACTGTCCCCACTGTCCCACTGACTCCTCCGCTGTCCCACTGAGCTGTCCCACTGTTCCCACCACTGTCCCCACTGTCCCCACCACTGTCCCCACTGTACCTCTGTCCCATTGTCCCACCGCCGTCCTCGCCACCGCCTTCACCACTGTCCCCACCACCACTACACCCTCCACTGTCCTATTGTTATTCCCACTGTCCCCACACCACTGTCCCCATCACCACCGTCCCCACCACTGTCCCACTGCTGTCCCCACTGTTCCCACCATTGTCCTCACCATTGTCCCAGCCACTACCGTCCCCACCACTGTCCCACTGTCCCCACCACTGTCCCGCTGTCCCCTCCCTCACCACTGTCCCCACCACCACCGTCCCCACCACTGTCCGCCCCCCCCCTCGGTTTTCGAGGGGGGGGGGGTTCGAACCGGTAGTGACCCCCCCCAGTTTTCGAGTTCGAGGGGGGACGGGTGGTTCGAACCGGTAGTGACCCCCACCCTTTTCATGATGAGCTGGGGGGGGGGGAGGGGTTCGAACAGGTAGTGACCCTCCCCGGTTTTCCGGAGGGGGGGGGGCGGGGGAGGGGTTCGAACCGGTAGTGACCCCCCCTGGTTTTCCGCCAGCAGCGGTAGAACACGCTCTTTCACATTTCCCGATCCCACTTCCATCCGCCTCAACGAAGGCCCGGATCCTCGGCGGAGGGCGCCAACGAAGTACGTACCTGCCCGGCGGGCTTTCTCAGAAGGCTCCGGAGGACTCGGGCCTTCTGCAGACTGGTCTGAGAGCCTTCTCCGAAGACAGGAACGGCTTCTCAGAAGGCCGGAGGGCCTCGGGAAAGCCCCGCCGCCTCCTGAGAAGACCTGCCCCCTCTCACGTCCCCCCCATCGGCTCGCCACCGACCTTGGCTCCTCCTGGGCCAAGGATTGGTCCATACGCCCTCCCGAAGCAGAAGTAACAGCTGCATAAACATAAACGTCTGGCGCTCCGCGCGGATTTCGGATCCAAGAGAACCGCGCGGAGCGCTAAAAGTTCATGCTTAGGCCGTTTCTTCTATTCCTGCCCCCTCTCACTTCTCTCATGTCGGGCCTGATGAAAAATATCGTCAGGGGACTTTTTTTTTGATTTTCGAATATTGCTTGACTACTCGTTTGTTTCTCGTCCAGGATCCGCCTGTGGGAGGACATGTCCGACCTAACACATTCCCCCTCCCCCCCCTTGGGCTCGCCGCCGATCTGGACTCCTCCTGGGCCAGGGATCGGCCCACACGCCCTGCCCTGCGGCCAGAAACGGCCGGGCCGCCCTCGAGGCGGGCGCCCGGTGGCGCTGGCGCCCTCGGGCACAGGGAGGGCCTCCAGCAGGGGTCGCCCAGGCCAGCGTTCTGCGATGTTTCGTCTCGGTCTCGCCTTCGCCTGCGAGCGAGAGGAGCCCTCTGCGGCGGCCCCCCGGGATCATCGGCCGGCGAGCGAGGGGGGGGAAGCGAGAAGGAGAAGGTCCTCTCAGAAGGCGGCGGGACTTCTCAGAAGCCCTCGCGCTGAAATCGTTTGCTCTGTCTTTGGGGGAGGCTTCGAAAACTTCTCAGGCTGGACATGCCCGACTGAATGCCCGTGACCTCCAGCGCCACGGACAGAACTGTCAACCACCCCCCGCTTGCCGGAGGTACCGTCGGGGAGCTGGCTTAAGGAACCCTAAATGCGGAACGAGGCTCCGTTTCTCCATAAGTCAAACTTCGACTGCCCAAGGGAAACCTCATGAAAACGTAAGGCACACTGTGAAACAACACAGAGCCCCTCCCCAACGAAAGGGGTTCCTTCTGCAACGCCCCGACTGTGCCACAACAGAAAGCGCACGAAACATCTGGCTGAGCCCCCCCACTCATCCATTTCCCCATCCCCCCATGGTCCAACCTCTCGTTTGAGATGGGGGAGGAGGAGGAAGAGGAGGAGGAGGAGGAGGAGAGAGGAGTGGGAGGAAGGGGGCTCGACTCCTCGAACATCCCCCCCCCGTGACCTCCAACATGTCCCAGCATGCCTTCCGGGACGAATCTCACCTGCCGTCGCTCGGACATCCACTCCGCGTGCCTTTTGGGGGCCTCGAGCGCCAAATTTTCGCAAGATGATCCAGGGTGCTCCTCGATGGTCCCTGACGAAAAAGAAACAATACATCGGAGCGATGCCAAGATCAAGGAGGACGCCAACCCGCCCGAACGGCCTCAGGATCCCCCGAGGCCCGCGAGGCCCCAAGGGCGCCTCCAGAGGGCATTGAAGAGAAACCCACTGGAAGTCCCCCGAGGCCCGACCTCTGGGAGCTCCCCCCTTCCTCATCCAAGGAACTCCAAGAACCCCGTACACAGAGGCCTCTGAGACCCCTCTCAGTTTCCCTGGCGACCCCTGGCCCCCCCCGCCTTCTTCCAGCTCCCTCCTCCTCCTCCTCCTCCTCCTCCTCCTCCTCACCCGAACGCGACGATATGACGACGACTCCAGGGACCACGGCGACGGCCACGACGACGGGCCACGGCGACGGCGGCGGCGGCAGCAACCACCACCGCACCCCTCCGCGACGACGACGCCGCCGACGACGACGACCTACGGCGACCTGCGGCGATCACGGCGACGACGGCGCGGGCGGCGACCTCGCCGACGACCGCGGCGGCGGCGGCGGCCACGACGACTGCGAGTCCTCGTGCTCACGAAGCGGACCTCCGGCTCCGCGGGCCGAGGGGCCGGCGCCTCGGGACAGACCCTCGCGGCGTCGGGCTGGCCGCTCGCCGAGGCGGTCCTGGCGGCGCGCCGTCGCCACCCCGGGTCGGCACATGCCGGGGCCGGCCAGAGCCCCGGGCGAGCCCAGGCTCGAATCGACGAGTCGGGTCGGTGCTCGAAACGAATCGGATCGGCGGGAATCGGCAGCCGAGTCGGGGAAAGTCGAATCGGCGGAAATCGGCAGGCTACGACGTGATGATCCCGGCAAAGCAACCTAACAGCGATGTGTAGAAGCATATATGGAAGCATTCCCTTAAGATTCAGATGAGAATCCAGTTGTAGAGTTCTGCTGTTCTCGCAGTCGCAGTCGCATTCGCGATGACAGTCGCAGTGGCAGCGGCAGTCGCAGTCACAGCCTCAGCCTGCCTCAGTATCAGCCTGCCTCAGCCTCAGCCTCAGCCTGCCTCAGCCTCAGCCTCAGCCTGCTTCAGCCTCAGCCTCAGTCTGCCTTCAGCCTCAGCCTCTGTGCCTCAGCCTGCCTCAGCCTCAGCCTGCCTCAGTATCAGCCTGCTTCAGCCTCAGCCTCAGCCTGCCTCAGCCTCAGCCTCAGCCTGCTTCAGCCTCAGCCTCAGCCTGCCTTCAGCCTCGGCCTCAGCCTCAGCCTGCCTCAGCCTCAGCCTGCATCAGCCTTGGCCTGAGCCTCACCCTGCCTCAGCATCAGCCTGCCTCAGCGTCTGCCTCAGCCTGCCTCAGCCTCAGCCTCAGCCTCAGCCTCAGCCTCAGCCTCAGCCTCAGCCTCAGCCTCAGCCTCAGCCTCAGCCTCAGCCTCAGCCTGCCTCAGCCTCAGCCTGCAGCCTCAGCCTCAGCCTCAGCCTCAGCCTCTCAGCCTCAGCCTGCCTGCAGCCTCAGCCTGCAGCCTCAGCCTCAGCCTCAGCCTCAGCCTCAGCCTCAGCCTCAGCCTGCAGCCTCAGCCTCAGCCTCAGCCTCAGCCTCAGTCAGCCTCTCAGCCTCAGCCTGCCTCAGCCTCAGCCTGCCTCAGCCTCAGCCTCAGCCTCAGCCTCAGCCTGCCTCAGCATCAGCCTGCCTCAGCCTCAGCCTCAGCCTGCCTCAGCCTCAGCCTGCCTCAGCGTCTGCCTCAGCCTGCCTTCAGCCTCGGCCTCAGCCTCAGCCTGCCTCAGCCTCATCAGCCTCAGCCTGCCTGCCTCAGCCTCAGCCTCAGCATCAGCATCACCATTCTCAGCCTCTGCATCAGCGTCAAAATGTGGCCCGGGAATGGAGTTCTGGGACTCGAAGAGCACGAAGTGGCCTACAGTTGGCTCCGGGCATTCAAAATGTGGCCCGGGAATGGAGTTCTGGGAACTCGAAGAGCACGAAGTGGCCTACAGTTGGCTCCGGGCATTCAAAATGTGGCCCGGGAATGGAGTTCTGGGCACTCGAAGAGCACGAAGTGGCCTACAGTTGGCTCCGGGCATTCAAAATGTGGCCCGGGAATGGAGTTCTGGGAACTCGAAGAGCACGAAGTGGCCTACAGTTGGCTCCGGGCATTCAAAATGTGGCCCGGGAATGGAGTTCTGGGAACTCGAAGACCACGAAGTGGCCTACAGTTGGCTCCGGGCATTCAAAATGTGGCCCGGGAATGGAGTTCTGGGAAGTCGAAGAGCACGAAGTGGCCTACAGTTGGCTCCGGGCATTCAGAATGTGGCCCGGGAATGGAGTTCTGGGAGGTCGAAGAGCACGAAGTGTGTGACTGTTTGCGAAAAACGAATTCGGACACGAGTTCGGACACAGCTCCCGGGATGCCGCCCAGACCCCCCTGTGGAGTCCTTTTAACCCCACTAGAAACCTATCAGCAAAAGCTGTTAGGTAAAAATCGCGAGCCAGAGCCGTCGCACACTGCTGCCAACGCCCCCTGTGCTGGTCCGCCGTGCACTATTGACTCATAAATGGCGAGCTGAAGAGGCGCTGGGGGACAAGCAAGCGAAGGCGAGGACCGCCTCCGGGTGCACGGGTGCGGGAAGCACCGCCCCGAGCGTAGAGGTCAGGAGCTGTCCCGTCGCGGGCCGGAACGTGGCCGAAGGAGCCACAGATGCGAGAGCGGCAGGGAGAGCGGGGACGCGTTGGAAGACGCTGCGCGCCCAACTGAGGGCGAGCGAGGCCCAAGGCGGGAGGCAGCGCGCCGGCCATTGAGAGTTGGAGGGAGGAAAGCCACAAGGGCCGACCGTGGTGCATGCCGCTCCAGAGGCGCATGCACCGCATGAGCGGAGGTGTTGGTGGAGGTCCCTTTCGGCCGAGCTAGCGCAACTGCCTCGTGGGGGCTCAGGGGTACCGCCCGATAGGTCGTCGAAGACGTTGGTGGTGGTGGTGGTGGTGGTGGTGGTGGTGGTGGTGGTGGTGGTGGTGGTGGTGGTCGGGGTCTTGCTGGTGGCGGTGGTAACCGTTTCTGTTGTTTTGTGTTGTTTTCCTCTTCTCCCTGGCGTCGATGGCAATGAACCTCCTGCTGGCAGTTGCGGCACAACCGAAGATAAAAACTGTTAAGGCAATTTGCACCCAAACCGGCGTTCAAACTGTTAGAGCAGCTTGAGCCCTTCCCACCTTCCGCATTGTGACGCAACGGACTACCCCTCCCTGCGCCAGCCGCAGACCAGAGGATTCAAAGGGGAGGAGGAAGAGGAGGGGAGGAATAACGAAACACGAGATGGAGAGGTCGAAGAGAACGCTCAACAACCGCTACAACCACAGCGCTAGTGCCACCTACAGTGCATCACTTTACTACTCTTCGTGTGGCCCTCGACCAGTGTCGGAAACCCTGCCTGAGCTCCTCTTCTGCTCCTCCTCTATTGTGGTGGTTGGTCGTTTTGTAGATTGCGTACGCCAAAACGCACCAGCAGTTTCGCTCCTCTGGCTCGCTCCTGGCCGCGCCGAGCCGACGCTTCCTACGCTACGCATAGGCGTCGTGCTCTGGCAACTTGAACACTTTCCAATCAATCGCCCTGGCAACCCAGCATCCTATGTAATGCTCAATGCTGTCGTCGCGGTCTTCGCAACCCATGCCTTCCCTCTGGAACCGTCTGGCTGTGCACCATCGGTTCCAAGCCATGCCCCGTACCGCGGCTGCGACCCGGGGGGCAACCAGCTTGCAATGCCCCTTATGTTGTGCAGGAAGGTCTCTCGCAATTTTCTCCTATCTCGATCCAGCTCCCACCTGGCCATCTTCTTCTCCACCATCACCTCCCAATTCTGCTCGAAGTGCTCCATGTTGAGTTTCACGGCCGCATTATGAGCTTCCTCTTGAGCTGTCTAGTGCCAACCTCGTCCAAACAGGCCCCTGTGACCACAGCGTCCACCGCGCCCTTCATACCCCCCTGGGCCTCCATCTCCACGCTCGAGTACGCATCCCTGCGCCAGCAAGGCCACCAAAACGAGCCTTTCTGGGTAGGCCGCCTCATGGTTAGCCTCCCGGAGTTCACGCTCTTCCCGTAGCAGGGGCTGCTCTCAGGCCTCGTGCCAATAAGCTCTGAGCTTGGACGTCTGTGCTCTGGCCTGCATGAAACCACAAGATCTACCGATCCTATACATTTTCCACACGTGCTACAGGTCTGGCTGGTTGGCCCACTCTTCCGGCCCGGTTGCGAGCTCCTTCACAGCGACCTCCTCCCTGTCGAGAATCTTGGGGCGCACCTCCAGCAGTTGCCCGAGGATGCCCAGCACCGAAGAGCTGAGCAGAGGACGCTGTAGATTGTAGTCCAGGGCCGGATACTGCAGACCAAGACCCTTACCCACCCAGTTGGTTATCCTGATCTCCCACTTCAGCATGGCCTTGTCCCAGGCATCCTCGCCGCGTTCGGGCCCGACGAATAACCAAATGTTTGTTAGCCTGTCGCAGCCGTTGTAGCAAGAGCCGCTGCCGCGGTCATAGTCGTGGTAATCGTGAATCTGGTGGAAACGGTCGTTGACCGCGACGCGGCCAAGGTCGAACTCGTCGCTTGCCACAGGGGTGCACGGCTTGCTGGATTTTAGGTTGTTGTAATCCTTTTTGAAATTCTGGGGGACCTTTGGCCCAGCCCGCTGGCCACCCAGAAGGACGCGCCAAGAATCGAAAGGGAAAGAAAAATCAGAAAACTCGGCTCCACGAAGACCCGTAAACTTCCCAGGTCGTCGGTCTTTCCGCTCCAGGCGGCCCTAAGATGGCCTCGAAGACGGCCCAGATGGCCTCCAAGAAAGCGGCCATGGCTTCGCCCCAAGGTGTCCTAAAGACGGGCCGAGATGCCCCCAGGATCGGCCACCAGGGCCTTAAAACCGCCCAAGACGGCCCAAAGAAGACTCCGAGACGGCCCAAGAGGCATCCGCAGAGGTCGAAATCATTGATTGTCCTTTGGTACTTGACGGACGTGGGCGCTCGCTCGGTCTCGGCCTTGCGGCTGTCCAAGACGGCCCCAGAGGCCACCAAGATGGCCCCAAGAGCGCCCAGGAGGCCTCAGAGTCGAACCCCTGACGGTCCAAGAGGCCCTCGAGATGGCCCCAAGAAGCGTCAAGACGGCCTAGGAGACCTCCAAGACATCCAAGATGGCCTCCAAGACAGCCCTGAAGCGCCCAAAGAGGACCACAAGACGGCGTCAGATCGGCTCCCAAGACGGTTTCCGACGGCGGCAGACGGGCCAGGAACATCCTCAGACGGCCAAGGGGCCTGCCAGGGAACCTCCAAAGCCCCCCAAGAGGCCAAAGGTAGCCCCCAAGAGGCCCCCAAGAGGCCCCGAGAAGACCCCAATAGTGGCCCAAGAGGCTCCAAAGAGGCCTCTCCCTCCTCCTCGTCCTCCTCCTCCTTTTCCCTGCATCTCCTCCTCGTCTTCCTCCTCCCCCACACGCTTCCCGAAGGGTAGTCCGATAGCTTGGTGGTCGAGCTCTGGCCGCAACGTTAGGCCACAAAGGCGCTTCTCAAAGGCAGGGGGCGGCGGTGATTCGCCGTAGGCGTCCTAGATATCATGGCCCCGGCCATGACTTCTTGACCGTCCCAGACGGAGGTCTGCCCCAAACACGGCGAAGGGCGTCCACGCACCTCGAGGTTCGAGCCGCGAAGTCCCAACGCCCGTCGGTGCCGGGCGTACCCAAACCGTGCGGTGACGGACCGCGCGGCGACCCAGAAACCCAAAGAGACCTCACCGCGCGGCCCGTCACCGCATGCTCCGGGGACCTCGGCAGCCCCGTCGCCCGGGGCGTCCGAGGCACAGCTACTGGGACGCCTCCCGGGGCAGGAAAGTCTCCAGGCACCGACGAAAGCATCCGAAAACCTCCAGGAACCGACGAGAACGTCCGCCGAAAACGTCCGACATCCCCACTGACTCACCACGCGGTGTGGTCAGCACACCGTCTGGGGGCCCCTACCGAGGTCTGGCCAGTCGGCCGCTGGCTCGCGGCGGCTGCCGCGCCGGGGAGCGGGCGGGCGGAAGCCTAGGTCCTAGCGGCACTCCCGCTGCTCGAGGAGTCCCTAACGACAACGATAACAACGACAACAACCATAAATCCACGGTAGCCACGCGAACAGTCATGACGGTCACAACGGTTACGAGAACACCGAGATTTACGACAACGGTAACGACGAGAACGACGAGAACTGTGTCCACGACGACACCGATCACGACGACAACGATCATGACGACCACAAGGAGGCCGACGGTCCCGGCGGCGCTCCGGCTGCTCGAGGAACCCCCCTCGGCCTCGGCGGCCTCGGCGGCCTGGGCCTCCGCGCTCTCCTCGAGGACCTCCTGGGCCAGCCGCCGCCCGCCGCCCGCACACGTTGCGGTCGCGGTCGCGGTCGTGGTCGTGGTCGTCGTGGCCGCCGTCAGCGTCGTCGTCGTCAGCGTCGTCGTCGTCGTCGTCGTCGTCGTCGTCGTCGCCGTCGTCGTCACCGTCGCCGTCGTCGCCGTCGCCGTCGCCGCCGCCGTTGTCGCCGCCGTCGTCATGGTCGTCGTCGTTGCCGTCCCCAGATCTTCGACGATACGATGTTTCCGGTGTTCAGTGTGGGCCTCTTTCCTCGACTTCGGCCCCTGGGGCCCGCTTTGAGGCCCCCAGGGCCATCAGTAAAGGATCCAAGACGAAGAACTGGCCCAGGGAAGAAGTCGGGACCTCCGGGGCCGCGCGTGCGTTAGAGAGATCAGATCGGCGGATGTCTGGGTCACGGTCGGGGTCGTCGGATGTCGTCTCCTCCTTGGGATCTGAGGTCGCGGAAGGAGAGCGCAACGTCGTGGACAAGCACGGCCAAGGCTCTCGGCCCCACCTCTCGCTGGTCAGGGGACGCACTGACCCGGGCCAATCCAAACCCGGGTCAGTCGGGCTGTGCAGAATCCTGCAGAGTCCAGCAGGATCTCCCAGACCCCGGTCATTGCAGTCCTGGCAGGAGAGCCCCGAATTGAATCCGCAAGTCGGATCTGCAATCGGAATAAATCTGATCGGTGGAAATCGGCAGCCGAGTCGGGAAAAGTCGAAACGGCGGAACTCGGCAGCCGAGTGGGCCTCCATTGTCAGAACCCAAAGCGGGATCCGCAATCGAATCGAATCGGAATCGGAGGCCATCGAAATCGAATCGGTGGAATCGAAACGAGCCCTGTCCTGGCCCTGCAGGACCTTGCAAGATCTGGCGCTCTGGCTGGCCCCCGCTTGCATGGAACCCCGCCTCCAGAGCCCCGGGCCGGCACCTCCCGAGCGGGACGGGTCCGCGAAGGCCAACGCCAGGCCAGAACGGGGCGAAGACGAGCAGCGGAGCAGGGCAGAGGGGCAGAGCAGCCGAACAGCCACGCCAGCGGAGGCAGAGGCAGGAGAGCCCAGGATCGAATCGAGAAGTCGGATCGGCGGTCGAAATGAATCGGATCGGCGGAAATCGGCAGCCGAGTCGGGAAGGAAGAATCGGATCGGTGGGCACGAAATCGGATTCCACATCGGAATCCCGAGTCGAATTGAATCGAAATCGGAAGCCATCGAAATCGAATCGGATTGGAAGAGTCGAAATGAAGCCCGGAGAGGGCGCGGTGGCGCTGGTAGGAGAGGAGAGCTACAGCCAAAACGTGTATCAGGGATGGGTGGTAGGGACGCACGATCCTTGAAGCCGAAGATGGGATTGTCTGGGCGGGCGACCCGTGACAAAGACGGCAAAGGACGTGCCGCAGAGACAAGTACACCAGGGTATACACTAGATGAAGGCGCGCGCCCCTGACTAGGCGTGCTGACTGTATTGCCTGGTGTTCGCGAAAACGCCAATGTGTGCGGACGGTGAGCTCGGTCACGGCTCCTGGGTCAAAAAGGGTCGCACCCAACAAGATTTCAGCCAAAATCGCTACATCATGCCCTTTCCAAACGCTGCACCGTACTGGCCCGTTGTCCGAGTCCGAGAACCTGAGAGAAACCGTTCCTGGACCTCAACCGTTCTGATCTGTTTACATATGTGGGCCCCCCCGGAACGACACCTTCCGACGCAGAAAAAATGGGGAACAACAAAGACAAGGATGGGAGTAACGGAAACTCGCTCTAAATGGCAATCGGAAGATGGGCGACATGTGGGCATCCAGCTGGGTTCCCTCTCCAACCCTACCTTGGGACGACCCCCTGCAAAATACATCTCCTCTGGGTTGAAAACGAATTCGGGCGACGATGCATCGAGAATCTGTGAAATCCAGCGTATCTGGAGTATGTCTCGGGCGCCGCGGTCTTCTCAGAGCGTTCTGGAACGCTCTGAGAAGGTTCTGGAACGCTCTGAAACGGGCTCCCTCATCCCAGCCCCGTCCGAAAACTGCTGCTTCTTGACGTTCCCCGGGGCGCGGAAACGGCTACGAGCGCCGCCGAACACCGTGCGTCTCCGTCGGGATGCGCTCGGGGGCGGCCCCCGGAGAGGCCTCCAAAGGCCCGAACACCGTGAGGCTCCCAGGAAAACTCGTGTCCCCCAGAGACCTGTGGAGGTTTCCCTCAGCCATAAAAATGGCAACAAGCATCTCGCTCGAGGCTCCTCCATTCCAGTCCCTCGAGAGCATTTTTAAATTCGCGGCGACAGCGGGCGTTTTCTTTTTGTTTGGGGGGGGGGCGCGGGAGAGAGGGGGGGGAGATGAGGTGTTTGAAGCATAGCGGGGGCGGCATAACGTGACGCGCCCCCCCGCCCCCCCGCCGTGCGGGTCCGGCACCACAAACTGTGGCGCAGGACGCACTGCGGCAGTGCCGTGGACGCACTGCGGCACTGCGGCAGTGCGAGGGGCGCTGCGTTATGGGGTGGGATGGAGGGGGGGGCATAACCGGCGTTATGGCCCGCACGAGCATACATTGGGCAAGTGTCACGCGGCGCAAACGAACGCAGTCAGACTACCCTACAGGGTCGCGCATAGACGATCTTGTGATGTCGGGTGGTTGTAGTCACGCGACATCAAGCTCTACTCCACTGCTCGGGGCGCCCCCCCCTGTGGAAGCGCCACCCAAATGTAGGCCTGAGCAGCCCCCCGTTGTAAGCTAAGTGAAGGAACGCGCTTCTCCTCGATCCTCGATCCCCCTCTGATGAAGGGGCCCTGGGACACACAAATAAATACACGCAAATAGAAGGATTCCACATATTTTCCCATATGTTCTGGGGTTCTGTCTTCCCCCCCACTCCCCATATTTTCCCATATCTTCCTGGGAGTGGACGATTAATTGTGTCTGTTTTTTTTTCCCCTCCTGCTCCGCAGCCCTTTTCAGGGCTCAGCCTGAGTCCGCCAGAGGACGATCACGTCACTGAACTTCGCCTAGCGCTTGAGAAAAGTTCTATTCAGAGAGTGTAAGCTAAGTGAGGGAACGCGCCTCTCTTCGATCCTCTATCCCCCTCTGGCTTGAGGGCCGCCTCCGTCGTCGCCGCCGCGCTCCAACCGCCTCGGCGGGAGCTCGCCCGCGGCGGCCGCTGGGGCCCCGCGCGCGCGGAGGCCTGTCCGGCCGAGTCGGGGCCGCCGCCGACCACGGTGCTCGGGTCCGGCGAAAGGGGGGGATAGCAAAGGAGGGGTTTGAGAATCAGCTCACGCACTGAAATTCGCACATGGAAAAGGATTCTGGTGTATACGGCATCCTGGTGTATACATGTTTCCTTGCTTCCCCGGGAAAACGGAAAAACAAGTATACACCACACCGCCCCGACGCCGCCCCCGACCCTGAAAACTTCCTGGGATCGAACACCAGCCCGCCTCTGTCGGGTCGGGCGAAAGGGGGGGATAGCAACGGGGGGGTTTGATAATCAGCTCACGTAGCTGATTTTCCCGGCGCCTCCCGGCGCCAGGAAAGGGGGGGACAGCAAAGGGGGGGTTTGAGAATCAGCTCACGTAGCTGATTTTCCTGGCGCCTCCCGGCGCCCATGTATCGAGGAATGGGCCCGGCGGCGGGACAGCTGCATGCAGCACATTTCGTACCCCCCCCCTTTCCCTATCCCCCCCTTTCGTTCGGCCCGGGATGCCACCGACGACGGCGGCGGCGGTAACGTCAGGTCGGGCGCGTCCTCCTACAGGCGGATTTTGGACGGAAGATATGTTAAAGAATATCCAAAACATGTTCAACACATATTTCCAAATTTGTTGGAAAAATGGTTGAATATGCTTTCAACAAATATGCACACATAATTATTAAAACATATTCAACAAATATGCACACATAACAATATGTGTGCAGATTTACTGCGTTATATTACTATTATTACATATATCTGCGAAAACATGTTCAACAAATATGCACACATATTCTTCCAAACTAAAAAACGCCTCCTGGACTGCTGTTAGAGGGACGGGCCCGACTTAACGGTAAGGACGAAGTGAGGGGCAACGATAAGGGGGCACCAGCTCAGGGGGGAAACATCGAGCTGGATCGGCGGTACATCGCCGATAGATCGGCGATACGCCCACGGAAGCGAATCCGCACGTGCTCGGCGGGGCGGGCCATTGGGCTCCTATCGGCGATGAATGGGCGATTGGGAGGCGATGCATCTTCCCCTGAGCCTATGCCCCCTATCGTTACCTCTGACGACGACGGCGGCGGCGACAACGCCTCAAAACTGAACGACGGCGGCGGCAGCGTACGGGGATGGGGGGATTCGGGTTGGCGCTGACCCAGGTCAGTCAGGGCAAGGGCCCTAACACGAAGCGTTGCCAGCCACGAAGTCAAGTAGCGTCTCACACTGCCTCAAACTCGGTCTGCGGAGGGACGCGAGGGGCCTGCAAATCCCAAAAGTATGGCTCGCATGGTTTGCAGCCAGCACCCTTGGGGGCCCCCTGGGGCGGCCGGAGACCTCGATAGAGTTCTCCTCCGCGCCCCGAGAAGGCCCGACGAAGACAATGTCGTGCCCCCCAGGCCCCAACGGCGCCGACCAAAACCGCAAACCAGCGTAACCCCACCCTTTGTAGTCACTGAAAGGGGGTCGGCTCCAGACGTGGCTCCCAGACCCGGGTAAGACAGAGCAGATCAGTGGGGATTGGCCGACCCGCTTACCAGGGCCCCGTGACGCAGGCGGCGACGGCGACGGTTACGACGGTGGAAGCGACGGTTACGACGGTGGCGTCGGCGACGGCGACAACCGACAACCGACGGCGACAACGGCGGTGGCGCAGGCGTCGACGGCGGCGGCAGCAACGGCGACGGCGGCGACGGCGGTCGCGGCAACGGCGACTGCGGCGGCGGGGACGACTGGTGGCGACGACGAGGACGACGACTGCGGCGGCGGCATCCTCCAGCCGCTGCCGCCGGCGGGCGGCCCTCGTGAGCGACAAGGACTCGGATGGCACGCGGCTGCCGACGAGGGACCAGAGCCTCGGAGCCCGCACGCCCTCGCGAGTCGTCGTCGCCTCCGCTGACGTTGTCGCAGGCGCCGGCGGGTCGGCGTCGTAGTGATCATCGTCCTCTGTCGTTGCCCCTGATCTCTCCTCCGCCGTCCTCCCCTCCGCCCTCAGACGCTCAAACGCTCCACAAGTCCAGGTCGACCGACAGCCGTGCCTGGACGAAAAACCACACCACGGCCAGGCCTGAGAAAGACGACGCTTCCGTGAAAACGCAGCCCCGTCCACTCCCCTTCTCATCAATGCTCCTCTTCGTTCTTAGTTTTCTTCTCGGTATGGACGCCACCTCTCAACGCGACGCTTCGTCGGCATTACGAGATGCGTGGTACGAATGGGGCGCAACGCACATCGCACGCGAAAGGGTGAAATGTCACCCTCACCTCGGAACCGAACGCACTTTTCTTAAGCAGTGAGCTCCCCAGTGGGCCCGTTGCGAAGCTTTCGATCGCCAGATTTCGTCGGCGGCAAGATCGCACGCGCGGCGTCCCTTTCGCCTCGGCGCCGCTCAGATTTTGAGTGAACGTGGCGTTCCCGCTCGGGCACGGTACATTTTTTCATTCACAAACTCGTTGGGCGCAGGCCCCACGCGAGCGGGAGGAGTGCCACCCTCGCCTAGAGCCCCTTGCAGATTGCGCCTGGATGTGGCGTTCCCGCTCTGTTGCGGCGCATGTCTTGTCTTTCGGTCACCGAATCGTGGGAAAGCGGCAGCTGCAAGGGGGCCGCCCGAGATATGCGGGCGAGATTGCTATCCATCTCCGCTGCGTCTTGGGCTGTCTGGGAGAGGGGGTCTGGAAATGCCCAGGCGCAGCGGATATGGATGAGCATCTAAACTTTCTGTAGGCTGACGGCTTGAAGGCTCTGCCTGTACTCTAATGTGCAGCGTTACGTTGAACTTGAGACGCCTTTGGCAGTCCTTGCTCAATAAAACCAAACAAACATCTACACTTCGGGGGCCAAGCTGCCGTCCATGTCCACTGCGCGTCGGGTGTGAAACAATGGGTGGGCACGGAGATACAGTTGCCCGCGAGATTGGGCAGCGTGCAACGTTGGTCCGTCATCGGCGTGGGGGGTCGACCCCTCCCACGCCCTGCGAAGAGCAGCCCATTCCCATACCCCCACGCGATCCACGGCCCCAGCGCTTTTTGAACAGTTTGGGGCAGCTTCCCCCCCTCCCTTTCGCCTCTCCTCCCGCTCTCACCTCCCAGCCTCCCTTCCCCACCTCTCCTAAGCCACCCCCTACACCAACTTCTCTCGCCTGAGAGCCCGGCAGCCTTGGTCCGTCGGGGGCGGGAAACCGCGCGCGAGCGCCCTCCGCTCGCTAGGGGGGAGCGCGCGCGAGTCCCAAGGGCAAGCTGTGCCTGTGCCAGCCCTGGGCCTCCTGGTGGTACGGGGGTGGGGTGGACAGGGGCGGAACAACTTGACTTGTTCGACGTGGCGAAGCTTCCTGCTCCTCCTCCTCCTCTTCCTCCTCCTCCTCCTCTGCCCCCCTATCCTCCTCCTCCTCCGTTTCCTCCTGCATCGTTCCGCCTCCCTCCTCGCTCCTCCTCCCGACCCTCCTCCTCCTCATCCCCCCTCGTCTCCAAGTTCCTCCCTACGTATCCGTCCTTCCACCTCTCTCATAATCATCCCCCTCTCCCGAAGAAGGCGACGATGCAGGCCTGAGCGGCCTTGGTGTTACCATCTCCAAAATGACAAAAGATCGCGCCAGCTGCTTTGGTATAATTGTTTGGTCCTAGGATGGGGCAGGTGACGAGTACAGAGTCCATGCCATGCAAAAAAAACAACTCCACGAATCCCAGACAAATCTCGAACATAGCCACGGCGAGAGCGTGATTCCTGATTGTCGAAGGCGCGGCGCCTGAACACATGGCGACGAAGTCCTACACGAGAGCTCGATTCTTGTATAATTTATGAAGACATCCCGCGCGAAAGCGCGATTTGGGGAAGAACTGTGGGGAAGTATCAGGCGGGAGCCGCTGATGATGTAAACTAAGTGCCAGGGGCACAGTTTGGTGACACCTCGCTTTCCTTTGTAAAGAGCAGGGCGCGAGCCGCAAAAAGTGCAATTTAATCCGGATATGCTAAATGGTTACCGCAGGGGGATCAAACATACGTATTCTTCAAAAGTGAAAATCCCACCAGCCCTCTGGGCGTCGGTGGTTTAGGGCGTTTCCTCTTCCACCCCTCCCTCTTCCCCTTCGGGGAGGGGTTTACCCCTCCCCCTACCCCCTCCCCACTGACCTGGACAGGAGGGGCGGGGAGCGGTCAGAGCGTCCAAAACGGCCTCGGCGAGGAAGCCAAAATCATTGATTTTACTATGGTTTGGGCCCCATTTTGGCCTTCTGAGGGGGCAACGCTAATTAACGCTCCCCTCTTCTTTGATCGATTTCCTCCACGATGGCCGCAAGAGGCCTCCAGGATGCCCCAAGAGGCCGCAGGATGGCCCCAAGATGGCCCCAAGAGGCCCCCCAAGAGGCCCCCAGGAGGCCCCCAAGAGACCCCCAAGAGGCCCCAAGAGACCCCCCAGAGACCCCAAGAGGCCCCAAGATGGCCCCAAGAGGCCCCAAGAGGCCCCCAGGAGGCCCCAAAGAGGATCCCGAACGGCCCACAGAGGCCCCCCCGAGGCACCCAAGACGCCGAAAAGCCCCTCAGGACGACCCTCTACTCGCCTGGGCGTCGTTTATGGACGGGCTGGTGGGGATACGCGAAGCGTCTAGAATTCATTAACAACAACAACAGCAACAGCAACAGCAACAGCAACAGCAACAGCAACAGCAACAGCCACAGCCACAGCCACAGCAACACCGACAACAACAACAACAACAACAAAAACAACAACAACAACAACAATCATTTTACCCGAACGCTCAGTGTTCTCCCCAGTGCCAGGGTTTTCTTGCGACACCAGCCAATACCCCCACTTCGTGGGGGGGCCGTTCAAGCTCTACCAAATATCCAAACGACTCTTCGAGACCACCCACACCCAGCTTCCCGCCCTATGACGTTGGGACACTTCACTTCGTGGCGTGCGGACGACCCTGGCTACTACACTGGCGTGGGGTACACACCCACAGAGGTTGATCACATCTGTTACATATGATGTGGTACACGGTACACGTGAGATGGTACGCAGTGCCAAGATAGTTGGTCACATTTTTGGGGCAAATTCGTGGGGATGCGATTACAGAAGTACATGTGTTACACTGATGTTATACAGTCCCAAGGATGACGCATGCATTGCTCATAGACTCATGGCGCTATGATCCTAACTCTCAGTGCCCAACGCGCGCGTGCACAGCCAGACGGAGGGAGAGAAACACATGTATACAAGGTTCGTGACATACGCACGGTCCACCATGTTGTAAACGATCGCATGCACGGCAAGTTCTGAAATTATGCGTATGTACAAGCAGACATGCGAGGGAAAAAGGGAGATGGCCATCGACAGTTCCAATACGGCTCCAAGGCGGAAGAGGGGGAGGAGGAGCAGGACAAGGAGGAAAGGAGAGAAGCGAGAAAGGAAGAACGCAGAGCGGGACACCAAGACAGCTTTCCGTCGCATACGCAACACGGTATGCAACGCGTGGTACTTCAGCCCTGGATATACAGCGCGCATGTGGTCACCAAGTGCCGCGTTGAGCTTTTCGGCCGTGTCATACTGCAAAGGTCCAGAGTCAGGGTGATACTTCACGTACCATTGCCTCAAAACCATACCGCTGACAGCGACGGGAGGATCGCTCTCCGAGAGAAGCTGCGAGAGGACCTCCGCAGCGGCCTCGTCGGCGAAGCTCTCCCGATACTGATTGAGTCGAAGACGCTCGCCCATACATTCCTCCACAGCTTGGGCAGTGTTCAATGCCCCCTTGGCGCCCCACTCCGTGCTGAGCCACTTCTGGCATACCCTGGCGTTAGCAGATACAGATAAATGTCCCAGGAGCCACTGCTTCAAGACGGCCCCGTCAGTGGTCCCCTCGGGCATGTCTTTGCGAATACGTTCTCCATACCAGGTCTCCAAGTGGCCAGCGTTCTGCACTTGGACAAGCGTGTCTTTGGATGAATACTGCAGTAGCCACGCCGTTGCGACCCTATCTGGCACATACAGTGGTGGATCCAACTGTCGGAGCGCCCGGCATAATTTGAAAGCGGTATTATACTCAATGCCCAGGTGGCGGATGGCAGAGCCGTGCTGCTCCTCCAGCTCCTTGGCGCTAGAAATACTGACCGTGCCAGTCACAACCCGATACTTGGCCCACCAAGTCTTGCACGCCTGGTGACTAGCATTGATACCCTTTGCCCGGAGCGCCTGATGCAAATAATACGCACTCTCGCAGTCGGCCAAGGGAGGCCGCGACAGCTCAGGGCCATACTGCTCGTGAAGGTCTTTCGCCGTCAAAGCCATGATCCAAGAACACAGGCGATACCTTGATCCGAGATGGCTACGGATATGTGCGTCAGCAGTCGGGGGCCTTCCTGGGGCCGCTTGGGGTCCTCTTGGGGAAGGGGGGAAGCCTCCTGGCGCGGTTTGGGGTCCACTTGAGAGCCTTTGGGGGGCTCCTTGGAACCATCTTGGGGCCTCTTGGGGGCTTATTGGACCCTCACGGCGGACTCTTGGGGCCTCTAGAACGCCTCCTGGGGCCATCTTGGGGGTCTCTTGGAGCCACCTTGGAGCCTCTCTGGAACCTCTTGGGGGCCTCTTGGAGTCCTCTTGAAGCCTCTTGGGACCATCTTGGGCGCCTCTTTGGGCCTCATGGACGCCTCTTGGGGCCATCTTGCGCGCCTGTTGGGGCCATCTTGGGTTTTAAAGATTCATCAAGAGACCGCGAATGGATTTCGAGATTTTTCGGATGAGAAAGTAGTGCGTTTTCATATGTTTTCTGAACATCGCATCTTGAAATTATTGAAAACCCATTGTGTTTGGCAGGATTTCGACATGCGCGCGCGGCGGCCGCGCGCATGTGCACTTCGTCTCATTTT